CCATCAGCCCCAGATGGGACTGATAGGCAGAAACAGAAGGAGGGCGCCAGGTTGCTGAAGGCTGTGCCACTTTCAGCTCTCTGAATTAAAACAATTGTCTGCCTTCAGCCATTGTGCTCTACATCTGCTGGGTAAAATGGAAAAACTGGACAGCTTGTTACGATGGGGTGAAAGTACCAGCAACTTTAGAGCCACACCCATTGATAGCCTCTAGAGATCTTTCCCAGCTATCACACGGGGTTTTTTGTTTCTTTATAAAATAAATCACACTAAGGAGGGCGCTTGATCATGGTATTGTCCAGGGCTGTCCTTCCTAGTTAACCTCCAGACAGGCGCTCACACAGATGGCATTTTCTGGCCTCCAGGGGACTGTCAGGGTGGTTATTTTAGTCTGGATGTGATTCCCTGGAAAACGTGCCACCCTGGCCTTTTCTCCAGCCTTATCTCCAGCCTCTCCAAGTGCTGGAAAGTGGCAGCCCCCCTTTTCAGCAGCCCTCAGCCAACACATCTGCAATGCAAGTCGCCACTGTTCTGCATCTACAATTCTTGGCTTCATCTTGACTGGACTCCTCGGGGACTGAAACCGGGCCATAGTGGAGCTGCCTGTTGCTGGCACGCCAGAGACAAAAGAAAGGCAGGCGCTTGGGTAAGAGTGACCTGCTCTGACCAGGACTGGGGAGCTTGAACAGAAAAGGGAGAGCAAAGGGTGTTGTCCCTTGCTTGGTGCTGCCTCTGGGTCCAGCCAACCAGATTCGAGGGATGTCCTTCCCCTTGGCCGGATCCTGTATTTCTGCCTTGGCAAACACTTGTTTTCTCTCCTCTCTCTCCCACCCCCGCCTTGAGCACCTGATTCATTTCAAATACCTGTAGCTTGCTTTTCCATTTCAAATAAAGTTCCCAAAATGAGTTGCAATAATTTGAGGAATCAAAGGAAGTCAAGCAGAATACCAACTCGCCAGATTGCAGTGCAATAAGAAGCACCACCAGTCAGACCTCCCTTTATACAATGTCAGGAGCTGGAATCAGGAGCAGGTCAGTAGTAAAACACCCAGTGTCAGTTAACTCTATTCAAAGAAACCCAAAACAGTGCAGGCCTAGTGATCACAGCAACTCTTCCCAGTAGGTCTTGCCCCAAGAAGGCAGTTGTGAGGACTGAAGGTCCCCGACTCCCCACCGCTCTCTAAGACTCTCTCCCAGGTCCTTCCCCAGCAACCTGAGGCTCTTCCATATCGTCTTTCTTTGCTTCACCCTCTTCATTCCTTTTTCTGTTCTGGGAGACAAGGTGGGAGGGGAGCTGGTCACAGCAGGAGAGGAAGACTTCCTGGCTTCTTCAGCAGCCTGCCTGACCTACTCTTGGCCCCCTTCCTCTCCAGCCTCTGCTTCTGCTCTTGAGTCAGAACTGCTCTCTGCCCCAGCCTCTTCCTGCTCATTGAACCCTGTTACCTCTTCAGCTTCTGACACCTTCTCCTCCCAGTCTTCTCCCTCTGACCACTCATCGTTGTCCCACCACCAATTCCCTGGCTCTGAGCCTTCTTCCCCTGGGGGTTCCCTTGAGGGTTCCCCACCATTCCTCTGCATCCAGCCAGTCCATGGCATAGGACCCCCCCAAGAAGCAGCCATCTTGGGAAGGAACTGGAGAAGGGCCTGTGCTGAAAATTCTGATTCTCACACATGTTCAGATAGGAGAAGAGGACCTCCCAGCATTTGTTGTATGCAAAGGGAAGAGGAATTGTGTTCCTTCCAGAGGTGGTGGTGGTTGCCATCTGTGACACAATTTCCATGCTGCAGGTCTCAGATTGGGTGGGGAGGGAGACCCCCCCCAGGTTTCTCCTGCCCCAGGCAGCTGCTGCCTAGATTGTTGACTACCCCACATCAGAGGATCACAGGGGCTGGCAGGCTGCAAATCATGGGCAGCAAAGCCATGCCAGACTATTCTTCTTCCCTATGATTACTTCTGCATTCCAGGGTTCTCTCGCTATCTGGGCCAAGCGTCAGCCACCTCCATCCTGGCTCTTGCCACCCCTTGCTTTCAGCTCTCAGTTTACCCTCCTTTAGCCCTGTAGTGTATCAGTCATGGACACTCTGTGATGTCCCCTCCCTGCGTAGGCAAATAAATGTCCACTAGCTGTGCTAACAAAGCCCCCCCCTGCTTTCCTAACCTTTGACCTTTGTCTGTGCAGTTTGTTGTCTTCTGCTGTCTGTTTGATGTTGTGTGTCATTGCAGGTCATTTGTTCTGGAAACCAGCTGGAATAATGTAGAAAAAACCCCAATTGCTCCTAGGACATACCCTCCGACATTTCTCTGATGAAAATAGGGGCGTCCCATACCAAAATGATAATTCTACTATTTATACTCCACCCATCTGACTGAGTTGCCATTCTGGGCAGTTTGTAACATATATATATAACATATAAAGCACAGCTTTAGCATATATAGAAACGTCATGTAAAAACTTCCCTATACAGGGCTGCTCAGATGGCTCACGGGTCAGATATCTCCATACCCTCTAATATTTCTGCAATGAAAATAGGGACGTCTCAAGGAAAAGCAGGACATTCTGGGATCAAATCAGAAACCGAGACGGCGTCTGTAGATCTAGGACATCCCTAGAAAATAGGGGCACTTGGAGGGTCTGCTAAGATGCTCAGAACAATATGGGCCTAAGCTGAGAGCCAGCACCTGGACTTTGAAAAGAATTAAAATTATGCAAGCGTCCATTTTGTGTTTATTTTAATAGGGATAGAGATTAATTCTCTAGCCCAGTTTGAATTTACTTTCCAGTTGGGGGAGTAGCCCAGGTTCCAGTTGGCAGGGGGGTGGTTTCTTGAACAGATCGAGGGAATCTGCATTCCACAATGTTCCAATCAAGAGTTTGGGTGGAGCGGAATGCATTCTGGACTTAAAAGTTCTGTTCTTAGACTTCAGAGTGGCAACACTCTTAGGGGCATCTTGTGCTGGTACCACCAACTGTAGGATCATATAGAAACTTTTTTAAAGTGTTTATACGCCCCTGAACAATGCATTTTCTGTTACTTGTCCCATGAAAATCACCAGGTGTCCCGTCATTTATCTCATATCAAAGATCTACCTTATCTGAGATCTATTTTTATTCCAGCTGATCATTCCTGGTTCATCACTAAATAAAATGAAACGCAACAAATTGTGTGATCAAAATATGGGGGGACTTGTTAGATAAACACTAAAACAGCATGCATGGTGTAATCTGAATGTGACTCCGATTATGTAGTGCAATTTACCATATATTGATTTCATAAAAGCTTGTAAAAAACAACAACCCCTCAAAGTGGTTTACAAAAAAAGATGAAACAAAAAAATATATCGATAAGGCAGTGTCTCTTTCAATGTATTCTGCAGCTTCCATTCATTTCAATGGGGCTTGCAGGGAGAACACTCTTGTGGATTACACCCCATGGTAATTCATAGAAATTCCTCACCTCCGGCACCAAAATGTGCCAGGCCAGTACAAACTTGAAAAGTCCTGTGCTTACTTCCTATTTGGAAGCCCTCAGCAGGGGCAGATTTAGGGGAGCACGACTGGTTCGCCCACACTGGGCGCCGAGCTGAGAGGGCGCCTCAGGGGGTGCTGCAACAATGACTTGGAACAGAAGGCGAGTTCCAGGGTGTGTGCAGAATTTGAATGTCTCACAGGGCGTAGCTGAGATTTGAAAGCTCAAAATCTGCCACTGGCCTCAGGCACCTTATTATCTCACAGGCTCAGTTTCTCAGTCTGTAAAATGGAAGTTCTAACTATGGCTGGAAATAAGCGTGAGCTCCAGTTTCCCTGGCAAACCACTCTAAACACACAGACCCTGGGTTGTTGCAAGGACAAATAGCATTTGTAATATTTAGCACGTTGACACAGAAATAGGTAGCTATAGTTGTTAACTGAAACCCAAATACCCAACATGTTTTGGATTAAGTCAGCCTTCTCCAACTGGCGCCCTCCAGATGGTCTGAAAGCCAGCTGGGGCTGGTGGAAGTCGAAGTCCAAAACATCAGGAGGCCGCTGGGTTGAAGGAAGGCTGGGCTGTGTTAGTGATGCGTTTCTGCCTGCACTTCCCTTCCCTTCCCACACTTTGTTGTCTTTCCCTGTGTTGAATTTTGGATTGTAAGACTCTTGGGGCAGGGAGCTGTCCTCTTGCACTTTTCTAAAGCATCAGCCACACTGAGAGCACCATAGAAATAGTCGCAATGTGCTGGGCATAGAAAGGGCAGCTGGTGCATTATGTGGAAAAAGCATGCACCCAGCCACCCTTTGCACAGCCCGCCCAACACCAGTTTAGCCAGCAAGCACTGGGGATGAATAAACTGGGGAGCAAATCTGAGAATTTCACATGCTCTCAGTTTATTATTTTTCCAGTCCTAAATTCAGTTTCTCCACATTTCCACATCAGCTAGCAAACTTTTTTTTTTTTAGGTCCTGAAAATTCTTCAGCATTTTAACATGCATTTTATACCTAAGACAATACATAACATTTCTTGTAAATGGCTTAGAGGTTTTATTACAATCAAGTTATATATTTAACTTGCCAAATAAAGTCAAGCAATAATATTTTTGCAAAGCAATTTTCTCCAACGTGATGTGCTTTCGTACGTCATTTTCAGCAATGCATGCATTTATTTGCACACTACCCTAGTAGATACATTTTTGTACACATCACTTGGGCTGGAGAAATGCAAAATTTGGAGAAGTGTGAATTTCAAAGGATGGCCTCGTTTTGCTCTGCACAGTTTTGGAAATTGCTAATTTGGTGACTTTGCCTTTAAATGAAAACAGACTTGAATTTGCCCCTCATCCTTAAATCTGGGACTGCTATGTTTTATAAGGCAGCACAACAGCTGAGTGGGGAGCACACCTCAACCTTCCTTGCTGAACTGCTGTGGCAGAAGATATCACTCACCAGTTGCTCTGCTTTGGGTCAACCCTGTTAGGAAGGAAAAGAGGGAGGGAGGCAGGCAGGAAGCTGCTCACACTTACTACAAGAATGAACGTTCCCAGGAATTCTGAGAGGGCTTCCTTCACCAAGTGGTTCTTCAGGGCCAATTTTTCCTTGAAACTCCTCTTCATGATCTTGCTCATTTTGGCTCCTTCTTGCTTGGTGCTTCTGGAGCAAGGCAACAGAAGAACGGTAGTAGCTTTACAATCTTCTCTGCAATTGTCACTTTCTTACCCCCCTTTTCTTCTTCTTAACTTTGGCACTCCTCCTCATATGTTGAAATACGAGCTGTGGAGTGCCGCAACACAGTCCTTGGAATCATCTGATCGTTCCAGAGCTTTACAGAGACCACTTCACATTCCCTGCTCGTTCATTGAGAGTTTCCATCATGTGCTTTTCCTTCCTGGTCCTGCAGGCACTATTTATATCAGGCCTGACTAGATAATAACACACGTCAGCTCACTTCCAGGAGCTAGCCCACACTTTCCCTCCTAATTCCCTCCTAATTTCTGGCTCTCTGGATTAATCATTACCTGCTAATCATGGACCCCCCACCTCCAAAATAAACACCCATGCAATTAAACAAGCTGAGGGCAGGGTGGGGGACAGGACAGAAAGGCAGGGAAATGATCTCTTATATCACCTGCCAAATGCAAAAGCACTGCAGTAATTGGCTGGTTTTTTAAAAAACAACAACACAACAACCCTCAAAAGATTTTTTCCTTTGGGTGCTTACCAGGAGGTGTGTCCATACTGAAAAGGTGAGAGTCAGATTGCTGCTCGCATTTGTGGAATGCATTCTGTCTCCACATGCCCAGGTGAACAGAGAGCATTTCAGGCAAGGCGAATCAATGGCATTGCTCTGGCATCCCACCAGAGAACCTTCTGGTGTTAAAAAACACCAGGAGAGCCCTGCTGGATCATTCAGACTCCTCCGCCAAGGAGCTTCTCGAAGCAGTTTACAAGTAAGCAAAGATAAAAACCACAACGGTCCAATTATTACAAAACAAATTATTACAACACAAGAGGAACAAAGAGCAGCACCAGCTATCAACATATTAAGCAGGAACGGAATCAAAAACTTGCTTAAAAATGAAAGGTTTTCAATTCCCGATAGAACAAAGATAGAGGAAGAAGAGGACCCCTAGCCTCTTGAAGCAGGGAGTTCCACAGGCAGGGCCACCACAGAGAAAGCCCTGCCATGTGGGCAGGGGCAACAGCCAACCTTAAAGGATTTTGGGCAGAGTCACATAAGAGGAGAGTGCCCTTCAAGGAGTATGGTCTCAAGCTTTTTTTAGACTTTAACGGGTCTCAGTTCAAGTAGATCAACAGCCACTTCGGGTCTCAGATCACAGGTTCATTCCTGGTGGAGCCCTTTGATTTCTCTTTGTTCTCCCCTCTGGTGGTGGATCAGAGGCTCCAAACTTGGACCCCAGTCCCCAAGCGGTCTCTGTAGTTGCACCCAGGGCCTCAAGGCACAACTCCACAATCAAATCTGATTTCCCACTGGTACCCTGGGAGTCCCCTCCATCTTTTTCTCTCTCGCTGCCCCTGGATCACTTCACCCCCTGCTCCAAACTGAAAATCAAAGTCCTGCCACAAGTCTTTATCTGGGGGCCCCTTCTTCAAGAACAGCTGGCCCAGTCACCCAAGCTGACAGCCACGTATTCCCCTCTCTGCTTATTCCCAATCTCTCTCGCGCCCCTCATGGGCCCAAATAAAGGCAGGTAACACAGCATCTCTTGCTCCCCAAACTCACAGGACCCTGGCGGCTGGGGCCTGCTTAAGACCTGCACTCAGTAGAGGGACTGGTCCCATCCCACAAGGCCATCTTGGGGCACCCAGAAGGCAAAGTCTTGGGAGGGTTTAGTCTCACCCAGTTCAGCAGGCGCTACCCTGGTGCATGCCCACGGATTGCCAACTTTCTCCACCACCGCTTCCTCAGGTACCAGCTGCTCTTCCTGCATGCTCACACATGCCTCCCATTCCTTCTGCTGCCCCCCTTCTTCTGGCATTCTGCAGGCACTAGTTCTTCTTGCTCATGCATGCCCACCTGGCACACATGGAGTGAAGAGGTCAATAAACAGCAGCTCTTCACCTCCATCCTGCAGTTTGCTCTCCTCTCAGTCACTTTCCTCCTGCATCCCTTCTTCAACAGGCTCCCAGGGGGTTGAGACATCTAGCAGAAGCAGCTCCTTAGCTCCAACCAGCTTGCCCTTCTCCATAAGAGCCAACTTCTAGGGGCTGCGGGCACTTCAGCCCCCACAATAAAATATTTGAGGGGGCTGGGCCCCCAAAGTTGATGCATTCAAATGGTGTGCATGCACTGTGTCATATGATCAGTTATGTGGGGCGGGGCTTACCTGGGTCCCCCACAATGTTTTACTCAAGTTGGCACCCCTGCCCTTTGCGGAGGCGTCATCTTCCCCCTTGCTTTCAGCTACTGACTGCCTCTGTTTGCGGTCCCAGCCCCTCTGCTGCCCATTCGCACTCTGGATCTCTTTGCCCACTCCTTCCATCTGGGTGCCTTGCAGGAGGGTTCCTGGGTCACTTTCAACCCCCTGTAGCATCTCACACAGCATGGCCCTCACCTCGCGTGGAGTCACGCTTTCCTCTCCCTGGAGACTTATCACCCACTTTGCCACCAGGGAAAGAACCAGGGCAAAAAAGAGAGAAAGAAAAGCACTTGGACACAGCTACTTTTTTGGCAGAATTTAATGAGGGTCTTGCATCAGGTCCAACACAGGGCTTTGTCAAGGCGTTGTGCAAAGACTGCAGGAGTAGGTTCATCAAGGACATAACAGGAAAAGTATACGTCAACTTGCACATAATCTGATTTGGGGTTTTCTTAGAATCTTGGAAGGAGCTATAAGCCAGTTTCAGCAGAAAACCAACTTCTGCTTTGCAAAATGTCTTGGTCAGAAGGGGGGGGGCGAAGCAGTTGTTGGCATCTGTCTGTCTCTGGAGACAATGGAGGAGTGCGGCTTTGGGAGTGAAGTAAAACTGTTGGAAGGTTGCAGCGCCTGCTGTGGCTGTAGAAACCGATACAGGAGAGGCATGTTTTGTTGCAGCTGGGGCAGATGGAGGTGTCCGGTTGTGCTGCTGCAGATGCACCATGTTGTTTCTTCTGTCTGTGCTCCTCCCAGCGATCATTCCTCCTCTGGTCACTGCTATGAACATACAACCTGACTGTCTGTCTCCAGGTGCTGTGGTCGTCTGTAAGGGAGTCCCACATGGGAGTGGGCTAGGTTTGATGTTGCCAGCCTTCATGTCACATTTGCAGACATCTTTGCAGTGGCGTAGCGTGGGGGGTGCAGGGGGGGCTGGCCGCACCGGGCGCAACATCTGGGGTTAGGGCAAATCCACAGGTTAGGGGGCGCAAATCCATGGGTTAGGGGGCGCAAATTACTTGCCTTGCCCCAGGTGCTGACAACCCACGCTACGCCACTGCATCTTTGTAACACAAAGTTGGAGAAGCAGTATAGACAGCAGAAGCTGTTTCCAGCCTTCCTCCTCCTTCTCCCCCCGCTTCCCCTGCTCTTTCAGATCTCATTTATTCCAGCACCACTCCCATACCCTCCAACATTTTTGCCCCCAAAATTGGGGCGTCAAAAGGGGTGCGCCTTCCAGTCCAGTGCTCTGGCGCTTGTCAGCTGGGTTGCGCCAGAGCCCTGGTGTGACCCTGCTGACCTGTGCCAGAATGAGCATGTTTTGCAAGACATTCAGGGCTTCTAATAGGGAAGCCCAGTTCTTTTGGGCACTCCATGTTCAGCCCCAATCTGTGGAGAAGGCCACCCATGGGAGCTACCATCAGCAAACTGGGTACTGTAGCCCCATGGATAATTGACACTGAAGCTTCTTTCTGTGAGAGTCTTAAGTCCTTCTTGGCTAAACCAAGGGGAGGATATAGGAAGATCAGTAATCTAAAAGGTGGTGGTGGGGATGTCACACAGGGGACATTCCCAGCCCTATTTGGAGATGCCAGTGGGAACTGAGCCTGTGACCTTGTGTGGGCAAAGCATGGGCTCAACCACTTTGCTCTAATCTTTCTCCCAATATCAGAAGAATAGGCAGCAAGTCTCTCAGCAGAGGCAGGTTTATCAGTATGAGGAGCAAGCACTGAAGCCCAGGGCTTCATTGGGCCTGGTGTGCTGGGACTGACTGTTTGGGAGCAGCTGATGGGATGCTCTGGAAAGTTGGCACTGTAGCCTAGAAGCTCCAGTCTGCTGGGTATGAGTATGGTAGAGTAGTAGTAGTAGTAGTAGTAGTAGTAGTAGTAGTAATAGTAATAATAATAATAATAATAATAATAATAATAATAATAAATTATTTATATCCCGCCCATCTGGCTGGGTTTCCCCAGCCACTCTGGGCGGCTTCCAACAAAATATTAAAAATACATTAAAACATCAGTCATTAAAAACTTCCCTAAACAGGGCTGCCTTCAGATGTCTTCTAAAAGTCAGAGAGTTGTTTATTTCCTTGACATCTGATGGGAGGATGTGCCACAGGGTGGGCGCCACTACCGAGAAGGCCCTCTGCCTGGTTCCCTGTAACCTCACTTCTCACAGTGAGGGAACCGCCAGAAGGCCCTTGGAGCCGGACCTCAGCCGGACGATGGGGGTGGAGAGGCCCCTTCAGTATACTGAGCCAAGGCCATTTAGGGCTTTAAAGGTCAGCACCAACACTTTGAATTGTGCTCGTAAACGTACTGGGAGCCAATGTAGGTCTTTCAAGACCGGTGTTATGTGGTGTTGGCGGCCACTCCCAGTCACCAGTCTAGACCAATGCATTTTTCTGTCTGAAGTAAAGGAGAAGTTTGTGTACACCCACACCCACCCACACCCACACCCTACATACAAAAGCTGACTGGAGCAGCAGCTGAATCTTGTTTCAGCGCTGGTGAAGGGCAGCGTCTTCTAACACGACTGAGGCAGGAGGCTACCTTAAGGGTGCAGGGCAGGTCACGTGGCCTAGAGAGGAATGGCTGGGGATTCTACAAGGAAGAGACAGGGGCCTGCTGTTAGGATTTTGCCTCCCTCTGCCTAATGGTAGAGCCAGCCCCTATGTTCAACACAAGCCCCAACGTGTGAGTGTGTGTGTGCACACGTGCATGGACACAAACACACCCTTTCTCTTTCACACACTGTTATTTAATCCCTGGCAGGAAATGTGCCATTGCTGCTGCCACAGCATGCCCCTGACAGTTCCCTTGCCCAGTTAGTCAATATGAGATTATAAAAAGGGCGTGAAATTCAGGCATTAACATTTACCCAGAGCAGTTTTTGTTTAGTTAGCTGTGGCATACCTGCTGGGGCTTGTGAGAGTCCCCTGGAGGCTTCAGGTGCAGCCTAAGTCCTGTGAGGCGTGCCCTTGCCCACCAGGCAGCAACATGCAGGATGCTTGACCATATATTCAATAGGCAATGTGATCTAGCTGTCCTTTGTTCCAGGTCTCTTATTCAGGGCTGCAAGGTGTGGTGGAACAACACCCCATGCAAACCTATAATCTACATGGGGAAGTGCTGTAGCTTAATGGCAG